AGAACAAAGAAAAAAGTTTCATCGAAATCAGTGCACCTGTTTCCCTGTGAAAAGTGAACAAAATCACGTCCAAAACCTCACCAAAGCAGGTTTTTGAGCGGCCGCCATTTTCTTTCCAAAAGGCGTATGACAGTTTCAAGTAGCCTATAATCTTCTTACACATCTATAAAACAAAGAAAAAGAGTTTCATAGAAAATGGTGCACTCGTTTTCCCGTGAAAAGCGAACAAAAACACATCCAAGAGCGTTACCAACAAACAGACAGAAATTGAGATAAGGCTTGTTTCGGCTTCTCTGGTGTATGAAACGTGAAGATATGCAAAAAGTACACTATTCTAAGCAATGTACAAACAAAACTCTTATTTTATTTATATAGATTACAAAATCAACTAGATAACACGATAATGTTCAAAGTATCTCCGAATGACCATAATACTGGAAAACCCGTTACTGATGGTTTGTCAAGAAAAAAGTGATAAAATTATCTGAAAGAAGTGCTTATATACAGTACCAGGATAGAGGGTGCATTGATGTAGGTGGAGAGTATGACAAGACAAATATCGCTAAGGGCAACTGAGTGAAGCATATAAGACTGGAGCAAGTGAGAATAAATCAGACTAATGCTTAGAAGGGCAAAGAAGAAACCCTGGTGGTCGAGTAATAGCCACAAGTGGCAGCGACGGTAAGTATATTTTGGAACTATCATTTTCTCTTCCATTTCTTTGTTGTCAGTTTTTTTTTCTGTTACAGGCAACATGTATGAATGATTTGGATTAGACAAATTACAATACAACAAAACAAAAAATCACATTAGAATTATTATTCACGAAAAAAAATTGATTACCAAAAAACTCCAAATGGATTAGCTGTTTATTTTTTTATTAATGTTGGAAAGTAGTCTGATATTGCTTTGCTCCTAAATTTTATATCAAACAATACAAAAACAATCATCATAATCATAAACACATTTTTTCTTTAATACTTATCATGTTATCCACACTTCAGTCATTTCTACAACAGTTAAAGTGATGAAGAATTACTTTATCATTTCAAATACATTCCAGTACTTGTAATAAAAAATACAGCCTCATGAAGAATTATAAGGAACAAAATGGTCATTATGTCTTATACCTCAGGCCAATATCATAGCCAATAAATGAATTAATACATACTGAATAACTCAAATGATGATAAAATCTAAAATATGTTTACACTTTACAACATTAAGCATGTGTACTCATCTACTAGCTTCATAGCAAATACAATTAAATAAAATATCAAACTAAGATGATGGTTTCAACTATAACAGTTGCAGCATCCTCGAATATAACAACGAAGGATACTGCTAGAAATCAAACTATTGCATTAGTAAAATAATTTTATGTTTATGTGTTAAAAGTTTTAAAGATGTGAAATGATAAATATTGAAAATGTACAAACTATGGAATCATACATGCACTATGAGCTGTGATATCTTGTATAACAATACATATAAAACTAAAACATCCATTTTGTCACAAAACACTAATCCTCATTCTATGGGCACTGAAAGATATAAAAAACAAAACCATCATTTGTTCTGTTTTAATTTACATAAAAGTGTAGTATGAAATCTTCCAACTGAGCCATCACTTGTGACATACACCGAAAGTATATTAATAAATATAAAGAGGTGTTACTTAAAATTAATGTCAGTAACAAATATACACTAAATTAAATAACACACACACACAGAAAAAAAAAGATTTCAAAGAAAGCAAATTAAGGAAAAAAATACATATGCATTCTGCCAGAAGAATATATAAGTACAAGTTACAAAAAGAAGGAATAACACTAAGCAATTTTATCAAATTTATGTTTCACACCTGCTACATTTATTAATATAAATGTCTGTGTGACCAAATTCTGGAAATTTTAAAGTACACTTTTATCATTAGCTTTATGCTCACTTATAATTTCTTTTTATTCATTATGTCTCTGCTTTTCTATTGTTTCTTCTTCTTCCAAACACTTTTCAATTGACTTCCATTTTTTCATTTCTTGGCAGATTGACTTGAAACGTGGTAGGTTTATACCTTGGTTCAACACACCGAGAAACATTATATTTTTTTGATGTTAGCCTTTTTTAAAGATTTGATAGGGTCAAAGGTCAAATAACCCAAAAATATATATTTGAACTCCTATGCAGTCATATTTACAGCAGTGAAGATAAATATTGGCCCAAAATTTTTCATGTACCCAACATACTGATATAAAAAAAAGTTGGATTTGTCCATTTTTAGTTTTCTTAGAGAGAGCAGTGCTCAGAAAAAATACAATATTTGGGTTTTTGACTATTTTACATGAGAATTAACACAAAGATGCTTTTCTATAGGTCCTACACAATTACAAATAAGAATGGTGAATTTGCTAATTTTTTTTAATTATTTGGTGTGTGTGTGGGGGGGGGGGATCAAGATGCTAAAAAAAAAGAATAATTTTAGGGTTTCAAAGCAATTACTCCATCATATTTCAGCAAAGTTACATGGGATTTGGTACAAACAATATTTCTTTATATGTCCCACACAAACACATACAAAAATGTGAGGTATACCCATTTTTTGTCATTTTAGGGAGGGTCAAAAGGTTGAATAAACCCATAATTTTTTAGGGGTTTTGATCAATTACTGAACCTTGTTTCAACCAATTTACATGGGATTTGGTACAAAGATACCTTCTTGCAGATCTCAAGCAGTGACATAGACAGTTTTTAATTTTTCTATCTTTTTTCAAAATTTTTATGGTGTCAAAATTAGCCATGTTGGGATTGTATAGCAGAGATATGTTGTATTTGCCTGCAAATGTGGCCTCTTTAATTTCTGTAGTGCAGTTTCTCTTCTTTTAAACTTCTGTAACAAGTTTCTTTATGAAAAATTTTACTAAAATAATCAGTTATACAGAGAAAAGATATATTCTTTCACTGAAAGAATCAAAATGTGAAACTTTGTCACTTCAAAATTTTTAGTTTTACTACTTCCTGTATTAATTAAAGAACTAACCTATTTAAAATTGGCACTGTAAAATACAACTGTATGGTAACTTATCTATATATATATAAAGATGAAATGTGTTTTTCCTTGCATCCTAACTCCTCCAAGCATATTAGGATACTCTCAACCAAAATTTGTAAACACTGTGAACTATGGGGGTCAAAATTGAACATAACCCTATTTCTATTTTGTAAAGCCTATTGGTTAATTACTCCCAGTCTATTGAATCAACCTCCAACAATTTTGACAGGTTGATGCTTTATACAATGTTGAATATTCTAAAGTGATTCAAGGGCAAAGTATGAAGGTTGCTAGATTGTTTCTTAAAAAACCATGGTAGATGGAGAGCACACTGCAAATGTTGTTTATGAAGAAGCTTTGTTATAATTTTAAAATTTTGAAATAAAGTTTATGTTCACGTTATTACTCTGAAATATATGGTTGCTGTTAAACTTGTATTGTTTTAATTATGTTTTAAACATTCCCCATCAGTTGATGGAAATTTCAGCTTGTCCATCATAATTTATAAAAATTTTACATACCTTTTTTACACAAGTCAATAGATGCATCTAAAAGTATTTCTAATTCTCCTTTTGGTAGCACAGGAACCACCCACCGAGGTCTGTTTATCATCTCATCTAGTCGAGCTAATTCAGCATGAGGAAAGTCTGGTTCCTGTCCCTCCAACAATTTATGGTTATCTGCATCTTGCTCTCCACTTGATTCAGTCTCTTCTGGAGGCTAAAAGTTGATAAAAATTGTTAACAAAAGTGCAAAATGGTCAAGTTAAAAAAGATGCAACAAATAATCTTTTTTAACAATATAACAGCAAGTAAGCTACATATATCACAGTGATGTTTAACAAGTAAAACATTTTTATATCCTACAAACTTTTAACTACAAATATTTTAAAATGCTCACAATATTTAAAAAACTACCTTATCTATTCATGTTGCATAATTGAAATAATCTACAATTAACAGCCATGGTGTGCTCACAGAAAATCTGAAGCATGCTGAAAGTCATTTTAACTGTTATTTGGACTGTTAAAAGTAGATTTACACTAAGATTCTTTCTGAAGTTATGTTATTTTAACATATCATGCATTTTTATTTTCTTGGAATATTATACTATTTATTCTGAATTTATCCTTTATCCTGTGTTATGTCCAGGTTTCACATAACACACAATAGAGACAGCCTTTAACCCACTGGCTGCTCATTCACCATATAGGGTATGGTCTGCCTCCAGCAGTCGAATGCGAGTGTGCTGTAAACAGTGAATGGTTCACAAAAATTCCATGCACATTTAAAGCAGCTGCAGTCAAAGGGTTAAGCTGATTTCATTCTAAATGCCTTTGTTTTTGTTAAGTTTCTAGTAAATAATACCTGTTCTGCATGGGAATATATTGCTGCAATAGTACACATAATACAAGTGTGTTAACAGCAGTGTCCTTCCATAGAAGTTCAGGTGATATCTAGAGGCCATGGCCTCATTTATGTCGTTTTGAGTAAATACATTTCTTGCAGAGTTTGGAATACTGGATTTAATCATTCTGGTACATGGATTCAACTTGAATAGTTAAATATAGTTGTTCCAGTAGAAGCAATCATCCTATGAAATTTGTAAAAGCAAGTACATACACACATTGTCCATGTTTTATATCAATCATAATAAAGATTGTTCCTTTCATGTTTCACTTTGTGTACAGTCTTTATTTCATTCATTTTCATGACTCTGAGATGGGGATGGTAACAAGCCATGGAGGGATGGGCTGATCATCGGACTCAGCAATATCATCCAATGTCAGACCCAATTCAGTCAACTGTGCCTGGATATAAAGGCCAAATGTAGGAATGGAAGACAGCCTATTTACAAAAAAGCACAGTCCATCAAGAAAAGAAGACACAACATGAGCTTTGCAGCATGTTACAAGGAAAGTTGAAAATGTCCAAAATGAAGTGGAAGTTCATAGGACTCAGAGTACAAACTTTGGACCAGAGAAGTGCAGAAAGCTCTTAATGATGTACAGGGTCCAACAATTTCAAGGCATAGTCTCTGACTGAACCATAGACCTTATATCCATAATCCAGCTTTGATAAAATGAGGGCACAACAGAAGTTCAGCATGGAACATCTATTCACTCACCAAGAAGTGGAAGAGAGGATGTTCATTCAATTGTAAACTTGACACAAAGCTGCTTAATGTATAGAATAAATGACAGTTTATGGTTGAGGAGAAGTTCTCAGAACTTTGCCTCAGCCACCTCAGGAACAATGGCACCACCCAGACAGAGTTCTGGATCAGGGTGCAATCCCTACCAGCAGCAAAAATGCACAAAAAAATATGTAATTTATTGAATGGCAGCTTCAGACTGCCCTCACTTGCTTGTTGGGGTGGACCACTCAAATTGTTTCACTTTTTTGTCATCTATGACCACGATGCCCAACAGAAAATCTGAAAGTCAGTGAAAAGGAGGCTGTTTGCAACAGTAAGAAGTAGTTGTTCAATAATAGCATTGATCTTAACACTGTAGAGTGTGACACCAAGTTTCTTTATGAAGGATTGGAACAATGTCAAACCCACATAGGCTTGGAATGACCTGTCATTTAAAAGATTCCAAATAAAACTAGGTATTCTGTCATGTAACCCATATGAATGGAGGTATTGTAATATGCCAAACCTCCATGCAGTGTTAGATGTCTTCTTAAGATTAAAAAACAATCAAAGTATCAAAAGAAGATGCCTTTGATAGCCAAACCACTGGCATTGGAATATCAGAGAATGTTTAGAATATAGGGCCTCATCTTAAAGTTCAAATAGCCTGCCTTGACAGAAGCAGGTGGATATGGAGATAAAAATGCCAAAACAAAAATGTGGGAAGGCCACATTTCTCCATCTTTTTGAGTGGATATACATTACACAGGCAAAACTCTTTAGCTGGAGGAACCAGTGAGAATCTTTGACTTGAGGATGGTAAACAACTCTTTCTCAACAATCACTCCTCTTTAGGAATTCAAAGTAGCAATGAAGTATTAAACTGAATAGGAGTATCCCCTATGGATCTTAATTTCAAAAGGACAATGAAGAACTCGCACCAAAAAATGTGGTGGTAAGTCCAGCACTCTCAAAGCTGGATGGGTCTTGGTTTGTGCCTGTTGGAGTACAAGGGCAAGAGATAAGAGTTCTTGGTTGACACAGGAGTGGCCAGAACTCTGGTGGATCTTGCTGTATATCAAGCACCACAAGTAAAACCACTACTCAAGTCATTCGAGATGATATTTGTTCTGGCAAATAGAGATGAAACATAATATTGTGCTTTGATTATGAAATTTTGCTAACAGAATGAAGGTAATTGTTACCATCTTCAGTTCTGGCATTAGAATAGTGGCATAGAAGTACTGTGAAGGTTGTTCATCAGTTTTATCAGTACAATGGTAGTTATCCAATGTTGGCCAGATCAAACCCAGGAACAGTGGACTACATGAGGGTATGTGGGAGGAGGAGACATAGTACTCCCATGTATGAAAGTGGTGTTCTAGGATTTACTACAGTCAAAATCAAGTGCACAGATTCCACGTAACTGGGATAGAGCCCACACATGAAACAGACTATTTCCTGTCCAAGGGGGTATGAAGTTCCACTGTTGTTCTACAATTATGAATAATCAGTTAAACAGCTGCATACTGAGACAGTCATTGACATGGTGCACAACGTGGAAGTAATGAATGCTAGTGGTAATGCTAAAGGTTACCTCTGAAAGTTAATACATAGACACCAACACCCCAGAGTGTGCTAACTGATGATTGTGCAAATAGTCTAGACTCAACACAGTAGCAATTAAGTGACCTGTTGGCAGACTAAAGTACAATGGATGTTAAAAGATGGAATCATACAGTCTTCAGGGAATGGTTGGTTGTCTACAGACTATCAGAAAGAAGGAATGTACATTCAGGTTCTGCACTGATTTTGTCTGGGTGAGTAAATTAACTCACATTGATATCTTTCTATTACCATTAACAGACGAATGTCTGGATGAACAGGAAGCAGTGCAATGGTTCAATACATTAAGCCTGACATTTAAATATTAGCAAGTCAAACTGGATGACTAGAGCTGTTTTCAGCATGAGAGATGGCTTGTGTAACATGCTTGCCACTTTCAAGAGGCTAATGAAACATACACTGAAATGGATGCAATGGGAGAAGTGCCTGATCTTTGTGAGCCACATCTTAGTTTTTGGTCACGTGTTCCAGTCTATGACTGAGAATCTGTAAATAGTAATCCAGCAGATAAAAAGGAAGGCTTGAAACTCAACCAGGAAAATGTGCATGGAAATAGAATTCCTTGGTCATATTGTCAGTAGATGTGGAATCTATCCTGCAAAAATAGCAGTAGTGTGAAATTGGTCTCAAAATAAGTTAATGAGTGCCAGGAATGAATGCCCTACAATGGATTAGAGCATGACCACATATGAAACCCAAAGAAATGTTGCTTGACCAAGGTAATCAATGGATTACTTTACCTCTATAGTCTTTAGAGGGGAGTAATGGTTGTAACCACACAGTTATTAACCTTTTTCAACCTACAAACCTGGCTGAACTTTTAACAAACTGGAATTTATCTAACCTTTTATTTTCAATCTGGACACTTGCTTTGCAAGATTGAATTTGTGATATGTCTGAATCTTGCTCTTCAAATAGTCAGTGTTCCAGTCATTTGCTTGCCAAAGCCTCCTTGTCCTGGTAAGTTGCCATGGAAAAGGATATCCAAGGAGTGACCCCAGGGTTCCAGTAACCACAAGAAAAAGTCAAGGTCAACTATCAATGACAAGAAACCAATGAAAAAGGATCTTCTGCCAGCTGGGCCTCCAACCTAAAGTTTTCTCGAGGGTTACTGATGATCTATTCTTATGGTCCAATGAAATATCACACCAAAGGTGTCAATTGAACCTTAAGCCTTCCCAGTATCGACAGTGGCAACTCTTCCGAAGCAAAATCTGCCCACCAGGCAAACTACAGTCAGTGCTACCCGAGTAAGCAAACAATGCTTTTTTTTGTAACATGTTTTATTACTATTCATCTTCTTGTACAACAAATAAAAAAAAAATTCTACCCTTTTCCAAAATATGACTTTAAAAGTTGTGAGCAAAAGTGAGGCAACATAAAAGATATTCCCTTACACCATCAGTGATTTCAAATCACATACATTTTGTGCATTGTGAATTTTAATTGTCTTTACTGTATTGTTTTTTACTGTTTTACTTTTTTAGTTATGTAAATTAATTATTATTAAAGTGATTGTTACTATCTTTGTTCATTTATGTATTTTGCAAAATGGTTTGATAAAATGTGGTATTTTAAGTCATGCTTCCTGTGACCTTCAATGGAAGTTCAGGTAATATCTAGAGGTTACAGCTTCACTTATGTTTGAATGATGATGACTAGTCACATGAGTAATGCTGGTTGTACTGAGTAAATATACATTTCTTTTGAAGGAATCTTCGATTTAGTCAGTCTAGTACATGGATTCAGTTTCAACAACTAAATACAGAGAATCCAGTAGAAATATTTGTCGTGTGTAAGTGAAAGCAAGCTACCAAGTGTTTGTGTTTTTTATGTCTGTTATAATATTGTTCATTTTGTGTTTTACTTTGTAAACTGTCTCTTATATTCTAATTGTGTTAATAACTTAGTTAGTTACTCAGAGGTTTAGTATTACTTCCTAATCAGCATCTTAACTGAATCTCCTGTTATTAAGCAGACGTATCCCATTGCTCTACCTTTTAATTTAGTTTTACCTGTATATACTACATAATCAAAAATCAAATAAAATACTTTATATGCTTATCAATACCTTTTTTAAAAAATAGAAACTAAAGAGCATGATATTTAAAGCATGTTCAAAGATAGATGTGCCTTTTCATATTATAAGTAATGTGCACGAACACTTAGAATTCAAAATCATTACTGTTGGTCAAATTAAATAACACTTAAAAAACACTTTACAGATACTTACAGGATAAAGAGGAGAGTCTGTTGTAGTCTGGGGTGATTGAACAGGGTTATTATCTTGAGGGGAATCTCCCCCACCTCCTTGGTCCTCTTGCATGACTAGAGTCATGCTTCTTCACAACTTAAGGAGCTTTAAAGTTTGTGTATTGAAGGTTAATTCAAATAACTGGATTTGAAACATGTACAATAGGCCTGCAAAATGTCACTGTTTTCAAGAGAGAGAGCTGAAAGTAAAAATTAAAATTATCTCAATATTGCCTGATAACTCATCTGAAGCTCTAAATACATAATAAACTAATCTTCTCCATCATTAAAAACCCTTAAATACCTGACTTGTAATTTTATCTGCACATGTGGCTACACAAGTAAGATCAAACAAAAACAAAGTCTACAGTTTCAAGGCCATGAGTGAGAATGATGTCCATTACATGGTACTGAAGTATGCTAATATGCATTTATTTTACTGCCTCACTTCTCTGAATGCATAAAATCTTCACCTAATACTTGGTTTAGGCCACATTATGGAATCTGTCTGCATATACTGTGCACTTAGTTCTTGCACCCGTGTTTTATAACTAAATTAAACCAAGCTTCTCATGAAAACAATTTAAAATATCAAACTCTTGCATATATATTTTACAGATATCCTTATATATACAAATCAAATTCCATCTTCTTTAGTCTAAACTACAAATAATCAACTGATCAAAGGTTCATAGCAGATGTTATGAAATAAAAATTTGTTTGTACAATTAAAAACTAAGTTTGATAATACTGCACTACTTCACATTAGAAAAATATATGTGTACTTATCTGAATATTGTTGAAACATTTTCAATAATATTTCATACAGTTTTAATACAATGATGATATAATTAACAACTATTATATAAATGAGATTTTATAATAGTTTTACTACACTATTAGCTATAAAAAACATTGATTTCATTTACCTAACCACCTCTAGTGAAATGGCAACAACCATAATTATTTTTAATGGTAGGTTGCAAACAAGTCAAGAAAGAGTTGCCTCCCCCTCCTTGAAGATAAGAGTGCAATCTCCTTATGTGACCTTGTGTAAAATGCATATCATGACTGTCCTAGGTGTTATTATTATTATCAGCTCCACTTAGTATGGCAGTCCCAGGTGTTTTCCCATGCACATACTTGCTGTACCAATTAAGAAATGCAACCACTGTGATGACAGGTGAGTATTGACATCCGAGCCCCATAAATATTCCTTCACAGACATTTTACTAGCACTTAATAGAATGTAATCAGTAAATTTTCAGAGTTAAAACAACCCAGTAAATTTTCATCACTGAATACAGTGTTTCACAATTCTAGTGTCTCTGTTTTCTTTTTTTGCAATTTTGGTTTTTCATGCTACTTCTACAATAATTTCATAAAAGTATTTTATAAACATTTAATATTCTTTATCTCAAAGAGAGTTAAATTTTCATGTATTTTTTGTGTAGTACTAATAACGTGGAGCCTACTAGACTTGTCAATGTTATAAAAACAAGTTAACTGTAGATGTTTTTTCCCCAATTTGTTCACTGTGGGTCAAAATCAAAGGTATGTAAAAAATAGCACTTCAGATTTATCTTTTGTCTCTCACAAATCACTGTACAATAAGCTTTTCAGCTATACCAGAACTCATCAGTTGGACAGGACTATGAGTTTCAAAGATTATAAAAATGCTATTTACATATGTAGTATAATACTGTAAAAGATATGGTTTAAGTGCTGAAAGCCAACAAACATTGAAGAAACTAATAGGCCTAAAATTATTACACTGTACAACAAAAACTTTGCTATTATAGAAAACTCAAGTGATTCAGGATAATTTGATGGTGCTGATTTCAAAAATATAATCAGCATCTGTCCATCACCTCTAGATTTTCAATTATTGTAATATCTCAATATTTTATCAGCAGTATGTGAAATACCATGAATCAACTCAGCATAATAGATTTATGCTGTAAAATTAAGTTTACTTGGACAGTTTAATGGGTAAAAGGCATACATTTTTTTTCAAACACTGAATGGGTTGTATTGGTGTCAAATTCCAAATATATTCTTCATATATGCTACTTGTTCTCGATATAACTGAAGCAAATTGCACCACTTTTGCTTCATTCCCACGCTCACCTGCTCCACCCGGGAATCACGAAACCCGTATGTGCTCAGTTTGCTAGAACATTCAAGAAGTCTCTCGATTGAGCATAATAGGAGCAGGGTCAGACTCCTCCCTCTCAGTTGCTTTTCACTCACCAGCCACTTTGCCTAGCTCTGCACACAGTAAAAACAGTTTAATCTTCTTCCTCACATCATACCTATAATATAATCCAATTTTGCAAAACCCTTTTTTCTAATATTTAATCTCTAATTCTGTAAACATTTTTATTTTTTAGAAGATTATTTGAAATCTTGCTCCAATTCAAGTCAAAAAGTGCAAAAATCACCCAATATTTTTTGCTGCAACTGTGGAAAATATGTGTTGTACAGTATGCACATCTGGCTTGACAAAATGGTTAAATAAGAAGAGAGCAAGTGTGCCACTTGCAGTTCCCATGATATGGTGTGAGCCCAAAGATCATCTAACTGACTGTTATTTTTGCATGACTACTATGTAAAAATAGTGCCATATCCACCAGCAAATTGGGAAACCAAAGTGTTATCCTGCAAAGAAGAGAATGAATCATTTTCATCCTCTTCATCAAGTAATTCTATTCCTGTGGCACCTCAACATAAACTGCCTCATCTGATCACACAAGAAGAGCTAAATAATCTGATTCATAACCTGTCTCCATCAAAGCAGCATGGGAAATTTCTTGGCTCTTGTTTACAGCAATGGAATTTATTAGCTCCAGCAACAAGGGTTTCAATTTACCAAAGTCATCATCAATGTCTTGCTTTTCACTACAGCATGCAAATTACTTTGTGTATCTGTACAAATGTTGATGCACTAATGGAAGAATTAAGTACTGAACATCATCCTCAAGAATGGGGACATTTTATTGACTCATCTAAAGTTAGTCTGAAAGCTGTAACTTTGCAAATTGGGAAAATTAAGCCATTGATTCCTGTTGCTCATGCTGTGAACATGAAAGAAATTTATCAAAGCATGCAGATTATACTTGAGGCCATCAAATATGATCACCATAGCTGGAACATATGTGGTGATCTAAAAGTTTTTGCATTTCTGCTGTGCCTTCAGAGTGGGTATACCAAACATTGTTGCTTTTAGTGTCTCTGGGACAGCCAAGATGATAAAAATCATTTCAAAAAGAAGGAATGGCCAGTGAGAGAGAATTACATATCAGGGAAACAGAATATCAAGTACCAAACTTTAGTAATTCTCAAAATGTGTTTCTGCACCCACTTATATTAAACTGGGACTCGTGAAGAATTATGAAAAAGGAATGAACAAAGATGGTAATGGTTTCAGATATCTGTCTGACAAGTTTCCAAAAAATCAATGAAGCAACAATGAAAGAAGGTATCTTTGTTGGGTCACAGATTCAGGAAGTGCTGGTGGATGATGTTTTTGAAACAGCATGCAATCAGAAAGAAACTGCTGCCTGAAAATCATTCAGACTGTTTGTCAAAAATTCCTTAGGAAATCACAGAGATAAAACTATGCTGTGATGATTGATGATATGCTCAAGAATTACAGTAAATTAACATTTTCCTAAACTGAAATTGTATTTCTGATAAATACTTACATCCTCTCACAATATAGCTTTTCTCGATTAGTACTGCCCACTATTGGCACAAATTTTCAACACTCACTTTCCACTTCTGCATATACACATGTAAATTATTAATAACCAGTGCCTCCACCACACTTGCACTCGTTAATCACTTCAAGATTGGTCACATTCAGGGGTTCTCAATCTTTATGCTACCATGGAACCTTTATTCAAAAATTTGCTTGCAGTGGAACCCTATCATATATATATATATATACATATGTGTGTGTATAAAAGAGAAACACATTATATGTATTATATCATTAATGTAGGTGAAATTGAAACATAACATCAGATTAAATTTAATAATATACAAGTTTGAAGTTCTTAATTTTATAAAAAAATATTTAAAAACAACCTCAAACTCCATTAGTGTGAGAATTGTGACATCTTGTTCTCTAGTCATCATCTCTTCTTTAATTTATTTACCTCCCCTCCAAGAACTAAAATATTTGACATAATATAGTCTCTATAGTATCATCTAGCTGACGTGATAGAAATTTTTTATATCCTTCAATCTTATTTGTCTAAAAAGCAAACATATAAAAATTCAGATCCCTCCTGTCACATTCTATCTTTTACAATTTGCTAATAGGTTTCCCTGAAGTCCACTCATTATATTTATAGCCAATAGAAAGCTTAGATTTCAGCCAATCAGTTGCCATATTTTTTTATCACTTAGGTGGCCAGAAAAATTGTGACAGTTACAGTTTATTTTTTATATTACTACCATTACAAATTTTTTTCTGGTGGAATCCATGAAAACAGTCCATGGAACCTTAGGGTTCTGTGGAACCCATGTTGAGAAACCTTGGGTCAGAAGACCTACATCACATATCAACGAGTGTCAAGAGACTGTAGTGGTAATTCGACATCATCCAACACCTGGTGGTATCTGGAATTGTACATCAGTTCTGCATTACTCGGAGGAACACCTACCTCTTCACCTTGAAAGAGGAATTGGTAGGGAAGACAAGCTTCCGTACCAAAATCTGTCTCCACTTTCGCACATTTCCAACCCCACCAACACCTGATCCACTATGAACTGACATCTAGCAGATGGTAGGAAGAGGGACTGCAAACCAGGGATGCATCTCCAGTCCAAAATCAGGCAGCTTTGAGCATTTTTCATCGGTAAGAGGAAGGATACTGGCCAGACTTAGCTGGACCATCTTCATCCAACACCTGACCCCCCAGAAAGTGCATCCTGAGGATGGTATGTAGGGGGAATGTCTCAGCCTGAGGGACAAACTGCAATATATATATAGTCATGATATGCAGAGTGCTTCAACCAAAACCTGGCAGTATCTGGAATTGTATATCAAGTCTCCAGTAGGAATTGCTATATGCCATCGACACCTACAGAATGCCACTGTCCTTCTCTCAACTGAGTGGTATGATGCCTCACTTAGGATAACAGGGCTCCATGGTCCACCACCCCAGTGGCTAGGAACTGGAATGTAGCA